TGTGTGAAGTGTCTTGCTAAAGGACACAACAACAGCTTGTACTACACTGCATTCCAAATGATTATGCAAATGATATTTTTTCTCTGATTTTGCCAAATTGTCAGTATAAATGACCGTCATCAACCTTTAGAGTTCTACTCCCAATGATAACAGTATGTCTTTTCAAAAATAAAATGCACTGTTCCAAATGATTATGCACAACAGAGTTTCAAACAATGTTATTTAAACTGAAAGTAGTCATTTGTTTATTTTTCAATTAGAAGCATTAGCATACCCATATGGAAAAGAAACTGGAAAAAAAAAATAACAGAATTTACCAGTGTCTTTGTAGTAAATCTGTATATAAGGTTAATATGTGTCATGTGTGGTTTACTCCTGAAAGTGTCCCCCTTTTACATTTTTCTCATACAACTATCTGATGAAAAACTAGTAAAGATAAAGTGAACATTTTGCATGACATTTACAGGTCATGTGCATGATAAACTACATTTTCTTTGTATGTTCCATGTAATGTTTGTATTTTTTAATTATATGTTGTAGTTAAAAAAACAAAACAAAATTGGAGTCAGAAGGGGGATTTGAACCCAGGATGCCCTGGGAGGACTTTTCCATATGGGTATTACTGAAATTCAAAGCTATTTCAGGCCCTGTCCACACTAGTGTGTATTCGAATGGTTTTGGTTGTGGGTGCTGTGTTTGTTCACACTAAGCCAATGGAAAATGGCTCCAGAGACGGAACGATCTGGTGCCTCCAGCTCATCTGAGTACAGATCTGATCTGGCACTGTGTGGACGCCTGTGTGGACGCCTGAAAACACTGATACTCTGTTGTAGGTCTGTGCGCCGTGAAGCAGCAAATTCAGCATCAGCATCACAACACTAAGGCTGGAATATATGTCCAATGACTTCGGAGCTCGTCATTTGTAACATAAACAACGCCATTCGCTTTTATTCAATCTCCTGCAGTTTTCCTACCAGATTTTCAACCACAGACTCACGTCTCAAATGGGCTGAAACTGCACCGGGCTCAACAGTTTGGGGAAGATATCGAATATATGAAGAAATATCTCGAAATCATTTTGCAATTATGATTAGATTTGTGATTTATGCTTTAATGTTTTTATTTTTATTTTTCAAAGTTCATGATTTAAACAAGTCCAGAAGACTTGACCAAAAGACAAGAAATCTGAAATGACAAATATGAATACAAGAATCACATTTTACAACATGTTTGTACAAAACTAAACTACAGGGTTAGCAGTCCTGGTCCAGTCCTGGTCCAGCCCAGGTTCAGTCCTGGTCCAGTCCTGGTCCAGTCCTGGTTCAGTCTTGTTTCAGTCCTGATTCAGTCCTTCAGGGACCCTAAAGGGGTCGAGCTACTTGCTCCCCATGATTCTGACCCAAAACATGACTTCGCCATCTCCATCCTGGTTCTTACTCGATGTCTCCCATCCAATACTAACCAGGCCCCAACAGTTAATGAAGGAGTTTGGAGTTAGGGTTAGGTCCTGAAGTTGGGCTGGGGTTAAGGTAGCTGTTTGTTGGGTAAACCTATGAGAATTGACTGACTTTATTTTGACGTCTCGGAAGGTTCTCTCCCATCTTGTATCCTAAAGCTGTAGTTTTGAACTTAACACAGTCAGTCATTCCTGGTTGTTTAGGAAAGGAAAGTTTTCTATAGTCATCCATCATCTGGTCGATCTCCATTTTTTTCTGAACAAAGAGTCTCTCCAAGTCTCTCCTCTGTTCCTCCCTTTCCTGATGAATTTGGGGCAGCACATTTAGGAGGCGCGTTTTCACGTACAGTTCCTCATATATGCCCTGCATTTGTTCGTTCGTGTGCCGCATAAATTGATTCTGCATTTCTGATAGTAAAATGTCCTTAAGTACCCAATCTTGCTTGATCTTTTTCTCCTCCAACTTTGCAATAGCCACCACCATCTGATGCTTTCTTTTCATTATCGATTTCTTCTCGTCTTTCTTCGTTTTCAAATTAACTTTTAAATGTTTTTCATTCAGGATTTGCTGGTTTAACTCCTGGATTATTTGATGCAAGTTCATGTTTTTCTGTCGCAAATCGTCCATGTCAACTGTTAAGTTGTGAATTTCCTCTTTAGATTGTGTGAAATTAGCTACTTTCTTCTCAAGAGATCGTTTTTCCTTCTCCAATTTTTTGTTTAACTTTTCAATCTCTGCATTTCTTTTCTCAAGTTGGCGATAGTTTTCCTTCACGATCTTGTCGTTGGATATTTTGACCTCCATTTCATGTATCTCTTGCCGTAGCTTTTCATTCTTAAGTTTCAGTTCTTCGTGCCTTTCGACTTCGTTCTTATATTTATCTGACCAGCCCTCAGTGTATTCCAGATTTAATTTGGAAAAGCATGTTTTCAGCAGCTCATTTTCACTTTCCACTGCCTTTTTTTCCAGTCGTATCACTTTGCATTTGTTCTCCCAGCTAAAACCTCGGGCGATTTTCTGGTATAATTTGTTGATGTTGTCTTTTATTTCATTGTTGTCCTGGCTGATCTGATCTATTTCCGATTTTAATTCGTCGTAATTTCTTTGGAAGTCTTCATGGAATTGTTTGGATTGTACGTCATTATATTTTTCAACCAGAACTTCTTTTTGTTTTTTCAATATTAATACATCTTTTCGAAGTAAACTGATTTGTTTTTTTTCCCCATGTCGTTCCGTGTTTTGGTTTTGGAGTACCTGGATCACTTCATTGATTTGACATTTTTCTGCTTCTAAATTATTGTAATGATCTAGAAATCCAGCTAAGTCTTGCATTTCGCTTGCAGCCTTTTCTACTCCACAGTTTTGTTGTGTGCCTAAATCTGCCTGGAGGTCTTGATTGATTTTCATAGCCTTTTCTATCTCAGATTTGAGCATGTTGTATCGCGCTTTGACATCTCTCCCTTTGTGTTTTCTTATCAGGATTGCGGTTTTCAAAATGGCGTTGTTCTTCAGGATCAGTTCCAATAACGGAGCAAAGACGTCACAAGCCTTGAGCAGCTCACTCTCGTCCAGGTTTTCGGGGCTGAAAATGTCATAGCTCCCCTCCTCAGCTTCCTCGTTTCTCATTTTTACAGTATCCATTTCTGATTTTTCTAGCTCAAGATTCTGAAACTTCTCTAAACTCTCTCTCGCTCTGTCTCTTCTATCTCGTTCAGTTGGTCTGCTGTTCTCGCTCACGTGTGAATGTAAATTGTGGTTTAAATCTAGGAGTTTTGTTCACGCCTACATCTTCGGAGACAAAAAGCTGATGATGTCATAAAGGATAGAATGGAATCGACCGATCACAAAGATTCCTCTTGGTTGCTAGGCAACCAAGAATCTGCAGTCATGTGATGTGATCATATTCTAAACAACAGTTTTGAACAATTCATAAATACATCAAATACACACAATTTAAAATAAAATGGAAGTAAATTACACTTAATAAAATAAAGAATATAAAACAGTATTCATGGAGTTAAGCTTTCTGGTATATACAACAGTTGAAATATTTGTCCCCATTCAGAAGATACAGTTTTTATTCATAGAGGGACATTTTACTTCTATGGGCTATAAACAGTAACACATGAACACATTGAAATCACTATGTTACCCTGTTTTGAAACTGACATGTTAGTCAGAAATGGCATATTAGCATGGTTTATAACATGGTGTCATCACATCAGATCAGATTTGTCAAGTTGGAGTGTATTGTTTTGTATCCTGCTTTTGTATTAATTTATGGCTTGTGGGCAGAGCACTGGACAGAATCTTCCAGCTAACTACAAGGAGGCTTTGAACAGGGCCCAGAAAAGATCACGAGATTACTTAGAGCAGAGCAGACTCTTTGGACAACACATCGTACTTGTTTTGAATCCAAATTATGCATTGTACTTTTATATATTTTACTCTTTATGTACACAGCAAAAAGTGGAGAGTTAAAAGTGACTCTCGAGAGATCCAGTGAAACTTTTTTCTCAGGGTTTATATGAGTCCAATCTGTTCTAGAGTTAATTTAACATTTTTGGAAATGTTAATTAATTAACACTGGACCAAAGTCCCTGTTTAACCCTGAAATGAAGAGTTACATTCATGTTTTGAGAATAAATGGATAACACTTTGTATGGTTATCCTGATTTAACTAAACAACAGAGGTGTTTGTTTATATTTACACTTTATTTGAGTTAATTTAAGATGTTCAAAACTGGTTCAAACTGGTTCTTCTCTGGAGGGAGTTTAAAGTGGTGGGTGGGAGGAGCCAAATTAACACTAAGGGAAGTTGAATTAACTTCAGCCACATCAACTCTGGCAAATAACCCCAACTTCAACCCCCATTTCACTTTCAAATAGTTCAAATAACACTTTTTTAAAAACAATATTTTACCCTCAGATTTTTGTGTAATCACATGGAAATGAAATGAAACATTTTTAGTCACAATAAATTTCTAATCATTTCTGATAAACAACTTCCTGCGGGGCATCTGGCTCTCATGGCTCTGACCATACTTGAGTTTGTCGAGTAATGCTTTTAAACTGCTGGAGTTTCCATGTCCGCTCCCTCTGTCGGTTTTTCCGTGATGGAAGATGGAGAGAGGGAAAGAGACAGAGAGCGGGAGAGAGAGGGACAGAGAGAAAGGGAGAAGAGCAAGGCCGAGAGGGAGATGGAAAGATAAATGAGAGAGACAGGGAAAGAGAGAGAGAAGCGAGGTGGGAGAAAGAAGAGAGAGGCAGAGTGAGAGAAAGAGAGTGAGAGAGACATGGAAAGAGAGAGAGAGAGATTCCGTTTTTCATTGGAAAGACCCTGCACTCCTCTGTGTCCCAGACTCTGCTCTCTGTATTCTCTCCATCCTGCACAGACTTTTAACAGTTTCTCATTCATGTTTTGCTGACAGAGTGAGTGAATTCCTCGGTGCGAGCTGAAGGTGTACCGTCTCTCTGTGAGGCTGTGGGGCTCTGCACAAGTGGACTCTTTTGAAACGATATTTTTCTCTTTTTTTGTTTCAGATAAAATTGAAGAAGCACAAAAGGAGCTGAAAGAGCCCAAAAGCTCTCAGAAAGGTAAGAGACTTTACCCAGCAGCACATTCACGCACACTCACGTCAAGGTGAAGGTGTCACTTTTCTGATACCTGTCTCCTTGGAAATGTTATTGCTTTGACTAGAATTTTCCATGGTATTAATTCAACTTATCTGTCTGCATGAAAGCAAGTGACTCAACCAGGTCAAGGTTACAGGTCATATCTGTGGAAAGGCAACTCTGATCAGAGTACAAATGCATGTTTTTAAGTAATGTTTTTTACCAATAAAAACACTTGGACTGAATAAGAATAATAATAAAAAATATATATCTATTTTTTATTTAATCTTTTACAGGTATTTTTATTGCTCAGAAATACCTGAAAAACATGCACTCTGCATAATGCACGCAATGGTGCTCACCTCTCCATAGATTAGACCTGTATCTTGGCCTTGTGGCTCCACCTGTTTATCTCCATAGAGATGCAGCATGACCAAACAACTGTGAAACCTTCATTCACTGTCATTTATCAGCGACAGTGGCTCAGTGGTTAGAGCAGTGGTTCTCCAACCCAAGTTCTGCTGTTGTGTCCTTAGACAAGACACTTCACTCACCTTGCCTAGTGTGAATGGTGCGTGTATGTGTGAATGTTGGTAGTGTGAGGGGCTGATGGTGCAGACTGGAAGCCTTGCTTCTGTCAGTCTGCTCCAGGGCAGCTGTGGCTACCGCTACAATAGTTTCTTGCGAAAGTATGGAGTGAATGAATAATGACTACATGGTAGTGCTTTGAGAGACTTGAACAAAGTGTATTACAAGTGTAAAAGGGAAAAAAAAGTCTGTAGGCAGCTTTATTTTCTTGTTAAGAAAGTTTGATTTGATAAAGTGAATTTATCACAATTTAATATCAAATGTGAGATGTGGGAAAAAACTGAAAAAATATGGTTTTGCACAACTCCAGAACAACAATTGTATTATTGGTGACTGAAAATAAAAATAATAGAAAGTTTGATACTTGAATTTAGTCACCTTGTCCTCATTACCCTAATCCAAAAAATAAATAAATAAATCATTTATGTCAAAATTGCTGTCCTCTTTATGAAAGTGAAAGTGTTACTCAGGTGTATCTTTAAAAGTAAGTGCAGTCCCAATAAATTCCTCAGGCTGTTATGTAAAGCGGCCTAATGCACTAGTCTCATTATCTGTCCCTGGCTCACCTCGTCACTGTCCATTTAAAGATGCACTCTCATTGGGAGGCAGAAGCTTAAACAGCCAGAGAGATCAGGAGTCTAACCCACAACCGTCTTATGCAAGGAGACAGACTAACCACTCTGCCACAGTAACACAGGGAGCACATGCATACATTTGAAGAGAATTGCACAAACATTATGTTTTAGATTGAGCATTGCCCATGCTAAAAGCAACCTACGCACTTCAAATGTGTACACAACAACAAGGGGGTAATATGTTTCTACAAATATTTCAAATGCTTTGAAAATGCAAAATTAGTATGTCAAAATAGTTAAAAAGCAACCAAATGAGTGTAAAAAGTCCTCTGATATAAATGTCTTTTGTTTAGATGCAGAACTGGTTGGATACAAAACATTTAAAGAGTCATTTTTTGTAGACTTGACTTTTTAAACCATATTATAGTGAGTTTCTCATTTACCCTCTGAAGTTGTATTTGGACTGATTTTTTGTGTTTTTGTTTTTTTTTTTGTTTTTTGTTTTTTACTTAATTCTTATTTAGTTTTTCAGCAATAATACAATTATTTAAAATCAATGCAAACATTTCAATTTTTAAAATAATATAAGTTTGTAACAAAAAAGAAATAAGCAAGCAACAGGGTAATAATGACATAATTAAACGTCCACTCTTTATGTATCAGGGACAATTATAAAAGAAGCCCCATGTCATCTCTACTGTATTAGCAGAGGCATAACAGGTTTCCAGCGCTTAATAAAAATGGGTTTTTGAATCCTTAAAGAATAGTTTATCTGCTCCTTTTGGTATACTGTATACCCCACACTTTCTGAATCCATATGTTATAAGAGGGAGGATCTGGTTTGAGCCATCTGATGGTTATACATTTTAAAGCAGCAGTAAGTAAAATATTCAAAAGGTATTTTCATCTTGTGTGCCAATACTTGCAGGTAACACTCCTACAGTGTTGGGGAGTAACAGATTACATGTACCGGAGTTACGTAATCAGAGTACAAATTATGAGTAACTGTATTGGTTTACAGTTACTGTTCCAATGAGTGGTAATTCATTGTCTAGGACTAAACCAGGTCTAAACCAGGTCTAAACCAGGACTAAACCAGGACTAAACCAGGACTAAACCCAGACTAAACTAAGACTAAAACCAGGTCTAAACCAGGTCTAAAACCAGGACTAAACTAATACAATATGACACTAACAGTAGGATGGACATCATTTAAAGCAGCAGTGATCTCATATAAAAATAATTTCTCTATCAATAATATTTTTAATCTGGTCAAGTAAAGACTGAACAAACGAGAATTTGCAGGATGTGGTTGTTACATTCATGTAGTTTTAAAAATCATGACAATATCAAGTAATCCAAAGTATTCAGATTACGTTACTCACTTTAAGTAATTTAATGGATTACGTTACAAACTACATTTTGGGGTATGTAATCTGTAATCTGTAGGGGATTACATTTTAAAAGTCAGCTTCCCAACACTGCACTCCTAGTAATGCCACTACTGGAGTAGATGGGATATGTTGATTAAAAATAACTTTAAGGGCATCAAAAACTTCCCTCCAAAACAAATCCAGTTTAGGACCAGTGTTGGGGAGTAACAGATTACATGTACTGGAGTTACGTAATCAGAGTACAAATTATGAGTAACTGTATTCAGTTACAGTTACTGTTTCAATGAGTGGTAATTGGATTACAGTTACTTTGTTGGAATAAATGGATTACATGGTGGTATTTTCCTGTTTTTACATTTTGGGCTAAACCAGGACTAAAACCAGGACTAAACCAGGACTAAACCAGGATTAAAACAGGACTAAAACAGGACTAAACCATGTTGCATGGACCGTGTCTCCTCCTCTTCTATCAATAATATTTTTAATATGGTTAAGTAAAGACTGGGCTTTTTAAAACTTCTTATGTGAACATATCCTCATCTTTGCTACATTACAGCAAATCAAGTAATCCAAAGTATTCAGATTACGTTACTCAATTTAAGTAATTTAACAGATTATGTTACCTACTACATTTTGGGGTATGTAATCTGTAAAATGTAATCTGTACATTTTAAAAGTCACCTCCCCAACACTGTTTAGGACAATGCCAAAATATATGTGTGTGGTTATCATTGACCACACCACAGTTTCTCCAGCATAAGACGGAATGTACTGGACCCATTTTAGCAGTTATATCTGGAGTTCTGAAAAATCTGGTAACAACTTTCCACTTGAATTCTCGCCAGATGGTTGAGTTTGTAACAAGATGTGATTCTGTACATATCTGTTCCCAGGAATCTACTGATATATCTTATTATCATCTCCGCTTCCCATCTCTCTCATATATATTGGATTTGTGCATGTTTGAGTCATCTATCAACAGTGTTGGGGAGTAACAGATTACATGTATTGGAGTTACGTAATCAGAGTACAAATTATGAGTAACTGTATTCAGTTACAGTTACTGTTTCAATGAGTGGTAATTGGATTACAGTTACTTTGTTGAAATAAATGGATTACACAGCGGGATTTTCCTGTTTTCACATTTTGGGCTAAACCAGGACTAAAACCAGGACTAAAATCAGGACTAAACCAGGGCTAAACCAGGACTAAAACCAGGACTAAACCAGGGCTAAACCAGGACTAAACCAGGACTAAAACCAGGTCTAAACCAGGTCTATACCAGGACTAAACCACATCTAAACCAGGTCTAAAACAGGATTTAACAAGACTAAATCATGCTGCATGGACGTGTCTCTTCGTCTTCTATCAATAATATTTTTAATTTGGTTCAGTAAAGTCTGGGTTTTTAAATTTTCTTTTATCAGGCAAAACATTTTATGTGAAGATTTCCTCGTCTTTGCTTCTCTACAGCAAATCAAGTAATCCAAAGTATTCAGATTACATTACTCACTTTAAGTAATTTAATAGATTACATTACAAACTACATTTTGGGGTATGTAATCTGTAATCTGTAGGGGATTACATTTTAAAAGTAACGTTCCCAACACTGTCTATCAACACCGCAGTCCTTTTTTTTTTTTTCTTTTTTAGTTCAGTATTACAATTTAGACTTTCCAAAATGCAACATAGTGATCCACATGTGTCATAGATTATAACTATAGCGCACACACACGCACAATAGGTCTTAAAATACAAAATAGTGCAGAAGTTGCTGGTTAGACTCCAAGTTTCCTCCTCGTCCTTCTCCCCTGAGCTGGTCCCAGTGGCTCTTGTTTACAGTGGAAGCAGAGTTATGTAAAGTCCGGGGCGTTCCTGCTCTAATTCTGCAGCTCAGAGGGAATCCTGAGCTCCGGGAAATACCTCCTCAACTGGGACTGCTGACAGGGCGGGGCTTACGCAACAGTCTACATCTCCACTCCTTTCTCTCTGTTTTTCTCCTCTCTTTTTCCTCTCTCCTTTCTGTCTCTCTGTGGCTCTCTTTCTCTGTCTTTCTTTCTTTCTTTCTTCTCTTGTTTTCTTTCCTTTTCTCTCTCTTCGATTCCCCTTCCTTCTCTACTTCTCTCCCTCTCCTCCCCCTACACTCTTTCGGGGAGACCTTGGGCGTGCCGGGGTCAGAGGATTCACTGTGTTCGAGGAAAAGCAGAAGTCACAATGCAAACTGTGCACAAATGAAAACTGCAATTTGAACAGAAGAATGATGTTTTCAACTTGACTGGAAAGAAGATCTGTATCACAAGAGCAGGACTGTGGCCACTCATCTGAATAATAAGTCATAAAATAATTGTTAGTTCATTCTTCACAATCACATTTTTTCCTAGCATGTGTTAAATCGTTCTTTAACCCTGGTCAAAATTGCAAAGAAACTAGTTAAAATAATGTAGCTAAGGAGTAAGAAGCAATGTAATGAAAAAGGCCAGATAACACTTGACTAATTATAGCTTTTGTTTTGGGTCGACAGTGTAATAAAATACACCACAAAACTGCAGTTCAGAGGGGACAAAATAACATTATAATGGAGTATAATTCCTCAAGAGCCCGGAGCAGAAGGCTCGATTTGAAAGAGAAATAGTGGTTTGGTTTACGGGCTTGTTTTGTGAGTGGATGAATGGGTGTTGGCTGCTTTCTTGTTGTCAGCGTCGTAAATGTTCTTGTTTGGTTCGAGGCTTTACAATGGCTGCGGTTGCCAAGTAAACGGAGACTTGTGTTCAGGAGCTGTAATGGTTTAAGTAAACAGTGACTTATGTTCAGGTGCTGTAAAGTAAACAGTGACTTATGTTCAGGTGCTGTAAAGTAAACAGTGACTTATGTTCAGGTGCTGTAAAGTAAACAGTGACTTATGTTCAGGTGCTGTAAAGTAAACAGTGACTTATGTTCAGGTGCTGTAAAGTAAACAGTGACTTATGTTTAGGGGCTGTAATGGTTTGTACAGTGCTGATCATCAGAGTCACACTGTCTCTATTTACAAACAGTTAAAGGTGCACAATGTAACGTCATGTGGAGGGTCAGCCACCTGCTTGCTTGCTTGGAAATTTCACAACCATGTCTAGAATGTTCCACAGTATATTAAACATATCCATCGTGTATTTATTCAATTTTAGGCTTTAACTTTCAAAAATATACTAAAAAACAACCTGTGAGCAGGGTCGTTCCTCCACAGATTTGTAGCTTTGGCTGATAGTATCACCTCATTGTCTCCGTGGAGGTGGATAAGTTTAATACTGTACTGTGGGAGATTCCAGACACAACAATAACATCTCCATGAAGACAAGCACGTGGTAAACCCTTGATTGGAAATAGTTACACAATGCACCTTTAATTATGTCAACATTTGCATAAAGCAGTGACACTTTAACTTTTTTAGTTTTTTTAAGCGTGACCCTTTAGTGACAATGGAATGAATTTTATTGTATGTATATTTTTTTCATTTTGGTTTGTTTTATTGAAACTGCACTGAAAAACTGTGGCCTCCTCTTGCTTAGTTCAATGGAACAGTTCTTTTGCCTCCACCTCTCTACATAACACCATGGAGATGTTATTGCTATGTCTAAAATGTTCCACAGTATGTCATTAAACTTATCTCTCTTGCTCTTTTTTTTTTTTTTTTGCTTAACAGATCTGACCTGTCACATGTCCTGGTCACGTCACCTTTTGGTTTCCATAGAGATAGATAACTTAACTGTGGGACATTTCATGCAAAGCAGTCCATAGTCCATTTGGTTCTGGTTTGTCTAACATGACCTCTCTTTCTTTCTCTTCTCAGGTGTGTCTGAAATCAGCCGCCGAAATGTTGACAAGTCTCAGAGCCTGAAGAGGAAGAAAGTAGTTGCGGGCAACCAGCTCAAGAAAATCCCCAAATCTCCAGTGAAAAAACCCTTACAGTCAAAGCCATGTGACTCCACTGGCCAAGAAACGCCATCAGACAAAACTACTCCGCTGTGCTCCTCTTCCTCATCAAACAGTCCCATCCACCACCCTACAGCGCCAACTAGTGGACAAACAGATATCCAAAATGTACCGAGAACTGAAAAATCCCCAAAAGAAGGAATTCCGGAACTAGATCAGATTATAAAAGAACCGAAATCACCGGAATCATTTAAAATTGAGAAGGTGTCTTTAGAAACATCTCAACCTTCTCCAACTCAGATTAACAACACGCAGTCTCCTAAACACGAAGAAGAACCTTATCATAGCAGTGCGCCGCTAGATGTTTTGCTAAAAGCTATGGAGCCGGATTTTAGCACATTAGCAGAAAGGAAAAATCAGCCAGTTGCAAAAGTTAGCGCACAAGCCAGCATCGGCGAAGTCCAAGCTATGCCTACGCTTAACGTCGGAATCCAATCTTCACACATGCAAACCTATTACATTGACAAACAAGGGAATTTTATTGGTATAGCTGCGCCGATACAAGGAACAGTGCAAGCAGGGACCCAGACTTTGCAAAGTGGGACTCATTTTATACCAGTTGCGAATCCTGAAAAGCCAAGATTGCAAATGAGTTTTAACCCAGGGCCAGTGGCAATAACCCACGGATCAAATGCATTACCGCAAAGCCAACCGCCAATAGTCCAAACTTGCCAGTCTTTATCCGCAACTGTTCCTAGTTCTATCCAGGTCCCAGTAACTCCAGGAAGCAACCAAGTTCAAATGGCGACTGTGATGAGTTTCGGAGATCAGATTTCCAAAGACCAAAAGCCGAAGAAGCCAGGAAAATACGTTTGCGAATACTGTAACCGAGCATGTGCCAAACCAAGCGTGCTGCTAAAACATATCCGATCCCACACAGGGGAACGCCCATATCCGTGCGTGACCTGCGGATTCTCGTTCAAAACAAAAAGCAATTTGTACAAGCACAAAAAATCGCACGCGCACGCAATTAAACTTGGGCTGATGGCGAGATCGGAATCAGGAGGTGGTTCGTTATCCCAAGAGTCGGAAAAAGGAGGAGGGACGCATTCGGAGGCGGAAGATACAGGGGAGAGTGATGAAGAAGGTAGTAACCATGAACTAGAACAAGATTTGACGCAAAGTAATATCGTAGCAGTTTCTGAAAATAGTTTGCAATGTTTAAACCAAGCTGAAGTTGATCAATCGAATGTGGTTGATTCTTGCAAAATTCAAACTCAGAAATCTTACGAACCAAAAGTTACGGCTGCGCTTCCAAAAGTTGTTGTTTATCCTGTAAATGTTTCACCCTTGAGAGCGGATAGCCCAAGAGTTACTATGGCAGCACCGGAGCAAGCAGCGGCACGTCAACGCGAATTCCAGTCGGCAAGTTTGAGATCAAGTGTCACGGTGTTGTCTTCGCTGAAAGAGGTTGATGGGACGAATGCGTCTATAGATGTAAGTGAGGATGAGGATCAACAATGCAAGTCTCCACTACTGGGAGGGCATGCACAGCTCCAAAGACAACAAGCAACCGATTTCTCACAACAGCAGCAACCGAAATGCCTGCTTAGTCCGAGAAGCTTGGGTAGCACCGACTCAGGATACTTCTCCAGGTCTGAAAGTGCAGATCAAGCTATGAGTCCACCAAGTCCTTTTGTAAAAATAACCCCACCTGTAGAAATTGACAAAAATGTTCTTCCAAGTATGCCACCGATTGTTGCAACAGTAATGCATGTGCAAACTGACCTAAAGTAAGACCAATAGAAGGGCAGATGAGACCACCGTTAGAACCGAAAGCATTGTCATTAGAAGAACGTATTTCCAAACTGATTTCTGACAATGAAGCGGTCGTTGATAATAAACAACTGGATAGCGTCAAACCAAGGCGAACGTCTCTGTCAAGGCGAGGTAGCATAGACTCTCCCAAATCATATATTTTCAAAGATTCTTTTCAATTCGATCTTAAACCGATGGGGAGAAGGTCCAGTTCGAGTTCTGACATCCCAAAATCGCCATTCACACCCACAGACAAGTCAAAACCAGTATTCTTGCTCTCTGTACCTTCGCAGTACCCTCCAATGGACTGCTTGCCAATAACTAGAAGTAACTCGATGCCAACTACTCCGGGACACTCAGCTTTGCCAGTTAATGTACCACCGCTTCCTCACCCATTACGAATTTGCCAGTCATTTGATGAGAAAATTAGCCCACTCAACGATGATGTCTTCTCTTCTGCACCTCCAACGCCAAATCCAGCAATGCATGCAAGAACTTTGGTTCGACAAGTAGCCGTAGAAGATTTTTCCACAAGTCATGACGGACATGTTCTTCCAACTGTGAGGTCTATGGACGAGGGATATCAAGGACCGCCAAGTAATATGACAGAATTAATGCAACGTAGCAGATCTTTCGAACACAACCAAGATAAAACCAGGAAACCGCTGCAAAACAAAGGCACTATGTACGAATGTGAAACGTGTCGGAATCGGTACAGGAAGTTGGAAAATTTTGAAACACATAAGAAATTTTATTGCTCGGAATTGCACGGGCCAAAAAATAAACCAGCTAAAGAGGTTGAGCCAGAGGTTTTCCATGTACATATGCAACAGTCAATAATCTCAAGGTCTGCGTCTGGTTCCGGAATTATCGATCAACAAACGTCTTTCAGGAAGCGTAGAATGAAAATGAAAAGCGTAGGCGATGAGGATGACCAGTCCCCAACAGATACGGTCCCGCCTTGTTCGGTTAGTTTCGATTCAGGACAGTTAACTACTGCAAACCGGACATTTCCTCCCCATGCGGTTATTGTAGATGTGCAACCGAAAAACAACCAAGCAAAGCTACCTCAAATTCAACTTGTAGCAAGAGGTACATCTGATGCAAGACTTTCGCCGATACGAGAGACGAAAATTGCAAATAAAGGGGAGTTGCAAAGACAAGGAAGTGGGACATCAGTTATAAGGCATACTAACTCGTTAAGTCGACCGAATTCATTTGACACAGAATCAATGGACAGAGCATCTCCAGTGGAAAATATGGAAAAAGATCTTGCAAATAAGCCCAAAGCTGACCAAGTAGCAAATATTTCAAAGGATGCATGTCATGAAAGTAAATCTAAAAGTGGAGATTTTGGGAAAACAAGAGTAACACAATACAGTGAAGGAAAAGTTGTTGAAATTCCAACTACTCCTGTGCATCAGTCCCGACTTGTACGTCAAAACAACATTCAAGTTCCTGAAATACTCGTAACAGAAGAACCAGATAGAGAGACTGATTCACAAAACATCGATCCGTCAGACAAGTCAACCGATCAATTTAACTGGCCGCAAAGAAGTGAAAGTTTGTCAAAATTACCTGCAGAAAAGTTGCCACCTAAAAAGAAAAGAATCCGATTGGCGCAAATGGATCAATCTTCTGGCGAATCAAGTTTTGAGTCAAGTTTGTCCCGAAGTCTAAGCAGAGATAGTAGTTTGTCTCGTGGATCGAGTATTTCGGCATCTTTTGACAGAGAGGAGACTTTACGGTCAGAAAGTCCATCAAGAGTGGAGTATATTAACAAAAATTCCGATTTACAAGGCTTGCCTGCAGCTTTTAACACATTAAATGTCCCAGGAACTATGCGTCGTGCCGCTTCGGAACAAATTACTTGCACGCAACCATCTGTGGAGGTTTCAACTGAGCATCGAAGTAAGTCTTTTGATTGTGGAAATGTATCGCCAAGCAGGTCTGCGTCTCCAATTGGTCTGCCAAAAAGCACTTCGCAAGTACCGCTTATTGAAAGAAGACGTGGTCCATTGGTACGGCAAATGTCACTGAAAATCGGTCCTGAAAGCCAACAACCTGTTCGTAAAAGTGTCACGCCGCTTGAAAAAGTAGCTAACGTTTACTCGCTGTCGCAATCAAAGCCGCAGCAAATTCATATCGCCAATAAGAATACAACAAGTCAACCTTTTGTGCTGCAGACGGGAGACAGGCCTTTGCAAAAGAATGAGCAGCTTGTGCAGTGTATAAACTTGGGTAGTCCAACGTTACAACCGCAAATTCACGGGCTTCCGCATCCCTGGCATCAGACATCGAGAGTTCAAATTTGCCAAAAAGCTCAACAACCTCTCAATCAGATCCTAGTTTGTCGGGAAAATTTGCAAAACAAGCCAACAGACAAAGGACGACAAGGCTAATTTTGTCCCTAAGTACCAACTTCCATGCTCGAATCTTAGAGCCAGCCAAACTTTTACATTCTCAAACACGCAAGGAACTCAAATCGCTCTGCCAGTTTTAACCATACCTATTGCCAATCCGATTTTGAGCACTTCGAAATCTTCAGAAATAATGCAAAATGTCTACGTCGCACAACAAGCTAGCCAGCAAACTAGTGAAACTCAGTCACAAGCTAGTGCCATACCGCTACCGCAAATTTTGATAACGCACGAGCAAATTAACCAAGCTCCGACAAACAAAAATGTCGTAATGTCAACGCAGTCTATTGAAAATGATGCAAAGAAAGAGAATCCGCCAAACCCGCCAGCTAGCAGTCCAAGTAGCAACGCAGGGCTAGTGTCTTCAATTGGCCCAATACAGTGCACGCAAAAGCTAGCATCGGTAACGCTATGCCCGCAGCAAGAGCCGACCGCTTCAAGTAAACGTATGCTGTCCCCGGCGAACAGTTTAGATATATACATGGAGAAGCATCAAAAACGCGCTAAAGACGAACATGGAGTCGCTTGCCTCACGGATGGAAGATCGATCAATTATCTCAATTCGAAAATGTCCGAAGTTACGAGGCAAAGAAAACTGATGCTGGTTCGACAAACTTGCACGACCGAACCGGCGGATAGCCCAATAGAAACAGAAGCGCCTCCGTTGTCACCGCCAAAATCTGAAACTGAGAAAGAAGGAGAAACGAACGAAGACGACATTAAACCGATGTCGCCCGATAGCGCCGGAATTGAAAAAGAAACATGTACAATTATACCAGAAGAGACTTTGAATACCACAACCCAGTCTATGCCCGTTTCAAAGACTCAAGACAAAATTGAGGAACAAAAATGGCTTCTGGCGAAATCTCCTATAAGACCTTCCAGTTTTAGTAGCGGACAAGTGAAGCTAACGACGTCTGTGTCAGTTGTTAATACTAAAGACAGCCATCGCTTGTCATTTCCAAGTCTCAAAACGACAACGACGTACACGTGGTGCTTTTTGATGAAGAGGAAGTCGATCCACGTACAGCAGACGGATTTGAAGACGTCGGCCTATTCAACGTGGTCCGTTTCGCCCAATAACCCAAACCCGCTGGGGCTGCCGACCAAGGTGGTGATGTCGCTGTTTAATTCGAAACAAAGCTCCAAGAAAATCCTCTACACTTCGGCCATAAAGACGAGTGGGGTCAAAGATATTCTGTCCTACTCTGGGAAGCTGAAGGACGTCATGCCCAAGGTGAGAAAGGTTGATGAATGCAGCTGTTGGTAACAGTTTGAATGAATATTTTAATTAAGGGGTATTTTATTAATAATTTCACAATTAGTCTTGTTTTTGTCTCCCAATTTTTTACTGTGATTGGTCAAATTTTTTTACCAACCTCAATTTCCTCTGCTTCTCTTAGCAACTAGTGTCTTTTCTGGTTAAGTTTGCAGCTGTTTGTGCAACAAATCTTAGACAAATAATTGTCTAGTTCTATATAAGCAAAGCATACCAAATATTTATACATTCTTAATGGGTTACAAACCTCTATACGAGTAGTTTAAACTAAGCTGGAGTACAGATCAGAATTCTATGCTAAAATTTGAAGATTTGTTTCTGTGCAGATTTTTGTAAATAGGGCCAGTAATTACAAAATTTAACGTAAAGTTTTATCAGGATTCTGTTTCATATTTGCAACACCATTGTGGTAATAGTTTGGTTCATTCAGTTACAGTTTGAGTTTTAATTTCCAAAATGTTACTTCCAAGTTCCAAACGATAAGTCTTTAATATCACATTATTTCTTTATAACAAATTAAACAATAGTTAGAAGAAACTTGCTAAATTATATAAAAAAATAATAATAAATATGGGGATAATTATGATAAACAATTAAAATGTGCAAAAATACTTTAATTAATACACAAATTAGTATATTTATGTCTTTATTTTCCTCCTGTTTGCTCCTCTGTGCAGGTGCCGTTGCCTCAGAAGTGTAAATCTGCTGCTGTGAGACCCAAAGCTCAGCCAGAGATCCAGAGCAGCCTCGAGTCGGACAAAGACCTGTCCACCAAGAGCGAACCGAGACGGGTCAAGATATTTGACGGAGGGTACGCACTTACAGTTCACTATGTCTGCTTTACTCAATCATTTATGTTTACTTTTTTGTATAGCTGTTTAGTTGATTATTTGCTCAAGACTTTTATTTGTCACCGAGTTATTTAACTGGGAGATATTTGAGTAAATTGGGAGTTTATTTTGCCTTTGATTTTCAGTTGTGAATACCTACTTTACAAGTATTTTTTTTGTACATACTTTATTTTGCAATCTTCAGAGCTTGTTGTCTTGTGAGTATAGTTTAAGTAAGCTATTTGATCAGATCATCTAGATAGCTTAGTTTTGAGAGCTTTTGTCTGCACCACACTCTTTTAGTTCACTAACTGATAAACAGGACATGTTTTTAGTCAATCAAAATTTTCTTTAGTCGACGAGTCGTAATAGGTCTCTTAGGGTTGTTAAAAGTATTGAAAATCAGATATTAATTGGTACTAACACTAGTACAGAAACTAGACACTCATTTGAGCAGGTATCGATACAAAAAAGTGCCATTCACAGGACAGAAATGAAGCTTTCGTGAACAGATTTAGAATGATGTTGAGCTGTATCAGAACAACTATAAGAACACATAGACTCGTATACACTATGAACCTACCTGCACCACTGAGGGATTACACTCATATAAGACCACATGGGAAGAGAAAAGAAAGTACCGTATTTTCTGGGCTATTAAGCGCTCTGGATTATAAGGCGCACTGTCATTAAATGGTCTATTTATTAAGTTTTTTCACAAATAAACCGCACTGGACTTTAAACAACAGTGTGACGGGTGAGTAGTTTTGTTTGTTTGTTCGTTCACAGTGACTCTGGGCTTTGTTCAGTTGTGGTGTGTAGGGAGGGTGCTGTCTGGGACCAACGGATTGTCGGTGTGTTCGCAGTGACTCAGTTGTTCAGTTGTGTCTAGAAGTGGCACATTGCGCTCGCTTTTTCGGTTCGTTCCTCCGTTCCGTTCCTCGTCGGCGTGGAGTGATGAGTGTGTCTGTGGGTGTGTTTCGCTGCACGGTCGCTGTCTGCTCCGTGTGTGTTTGCGTGCGCTGTGGACCGGCTCTGTAGTTTACTGAAGTCGTGCTGGGACACCTGAGTGGATTTGTGTATAGGGCGCTCTGGATTGCGGTGCGCGTAGTTATTTTTTGATGGGGTTAGAGGCTTAAGAGCGTGTCTAATAGCCCAGAAAATACGGTACTACCGTTTAATGCGGAAAATCACATTCTGAGAGTATTTTATTATCACTGTGGTATCAGAATCGATATTAAGTCTATTCCTTAGTATCAAAATCGAGTTTGAAATGTTAGTATTGTGATGTCACTAGTTTTGATGTTAAGTGTAAACGATGTCTCTGTGGTCCAGGTACAAGTCAAACGAGGAGTATGTGTACGTGCGGGGCCGAGGCAGAGGGAAGTACATCTGCGAGGAGTGCGGGATCCGCTGTAAAAAGCCCAGTATGCTCCGAAAACACATCAGAACCCATTCCGACGTCAGGCCCTACCACTGCAACCACTGCAACTTCTCCTTCAAAACCAAAGGTACAATCCACACGACACGTCACGGCAATCAGGTTATAGTTGTTTCCTTCACATTTGCCCTCTCAAAGTTGTATTTAGATCCATACATGCTTGAGTCATTGCTCTGATCTGTCTCTGTTTTCACCACCACCTTCATTCTACAATTTTATTATTAATAGATTTTAACGATATGTTTTCTCTTCTTACTTTTGCACGCTGGCTCTCTTCTTGTTTACACTGTGTGGTTCCAAAGGCTACGTCTGATCTATCTTTCCAAATTGATCGTTGTGCAGTCGTTTACAGTGATTCGTCCATTTTTAGCCAATCAGCAGCCTCCGTTCCCTCTGCTGCTCTTAGCAACTACTGTCTCCTCCTTTCCTCTGTTGAAGATTATAACTGTTTTTGTGTAGGTGAATCTTACATAAATAGACTAGTTCTATACCAGCAAAAACAATTCATACGTTTTTGATGATTACCTACTCTTGATTTCACTGAACTAAATACAAATATAAATGCATTTAAAAGGTCCACATCAGGCTATTTTCTGATCTGTTATAATGTTGTTTTCTCATCACAAACTAGACCTGGAGTTATGTTTTGTTTCACATACATATTTAGGCTGAGTTCGTTCCTGAATTCGTGTGTCATTCGTTCATGCATTTTTCAATATAAAACCAAAAGTAAAAAAATGAAAAAAACAACTATTATCTACATTATTTGTCTCCAAAACCAAAATGAAAAAACTGAAAATTATTTGTTTTTTCAGTTTTCGATTTTGTGTTTAAATGAAAAATGGAAAAAACGATAACGACCGTTTCCCGTTTCCGTGACTTCTTTGACTGCGATGCCGGACTTTTGCACCGCATACGGACTGAACCAGGACTGAACCAGGACTGAACCAGGTCCGGGACTAGACCGGGACCAGACCGGGACCAGACCGGGACCAGACCGGGACCAGACCGGGACCAGACCGGGACCAGACCAGGACCAGAGCGGGACTGAGACCAAGATCAGACCAGGACCAGGCCGGGACCAGAGCGGGACCAGAGTGGACTCCGAGCTTTGACTCCAAGCCTCCGCGGGTCCGAGCCTCAGCTTCGGGCTTCAGCCCTGCCATGGTCTCTGAGCCTCCGGTCTGGTCCCAGTCTGGTCTCAATCTCAGTCCCGCTCTGGTCCTGGTCTGGTTTCGGTCTCGGTCTCGGTCTCGGTCTGGTCCCGGTCTCAGTCCTGGTCTGGTTCTGGTCTGGTCCTGGACCTGGTTCAGTCCATATGTGGTGTAAAAGTCCGGCATCGCAGTCACAGAAGTCACGTAAACGGCCATTATCCATTTTTTCCATTTTTCATTTAAATACAAAATCGAAAACTGAAAAAACAAATCATTTTCTGTTTTTTCATTTTGGTTTTGGAGACAAATAATGAAGAAAACTGTTGTTTTTTTGTTTTCTTATTTTTGGTTTTATATTGAAAAACGATGATCGAATAATACACGGATTCTTGTGATGTCATGTAGTAATAAAGGAAGTACTGCACTGTGTTGTTAACTGCGTACACCTTCACTAGAATCATTTGGATGATTTAGATGATTTCAGACGTGTCATTTTCAATCTCTACTGACTTAAACGTAAAAGGAGCAATTCACTTGAAAACCACCTCTTCGTGACATCACCAGGTGGAACAGAGCATTTTGAGTTTAGCAGAGGCAGAGGAGCAAAGGCAGAAGAGCAGGAGAGGTTGATCTGGACGTGGGCTGATGTGATGTGAGGCGTGGGCTCCTGCAGTGAATCATAGAAACACAGAGCACAAACCTCCACCAACCTCCACTCGACTGCTGCAGGAGGCACAGGGAGGAGCAACTCGAGGAAAACAACCAAGAGAAAGTCCTCACAATCTTACAATGCAAACCTGCTTAATTACATGTTTTATGTAATGTTGAATTAAATGCTTTTATTTATTATTATATATAGTTTTTGTATCTATCCTTGCTGCTTGCATATTTCTGGTCTGAGATTTTTTTTTTAAACTTACAATGGCAATCACCATCCAAATAAAAAAAATAAAGAACATCTAAAAGTCTTATTCCATTGGGATTTTCTGTTGAAAGGAGAATAAACATGTTCAAACAAGCCTAAACTGATGTTGAAAAAGTCCAGAACAATTCAGTAAAAGATCAAAACTCAACTTTATGTGATTTATTTTATTTGTTTTAGGGAACTTGACGAAGCACATGAAGTCCAAAGGCCACAGTAAGAGGTGTCTGGAGATGGGGGTCCCCGAGGGTCCGCTGGACGACCAGGACGCAGAAGACTCTGGTGAGAAATCAAGTTGTTATTATTATTATTCCGTCTATTGATCTTAAAGCTCCTATATTATGTAAAATGAACTCCTGTGAGCTTTAAGTCTTGTTATAATGTTGTTACCTCCTCAAAACAGACCTGGAGTTTTGTTTCACTCACACATGTTTGAGTAACTCCTTTATTATTACCGTATTTTCCGGGTTATTAGTCGCGCTCTTAAGCCTCTTACCCCATCAAAAAACGACTGTGCGCCACAATCCAGAGCACCCTATACACCAATCCACTCAGGTGTCCCAGCACGACTTCAGTAAACTACAAAGCCGCACCACCCACAGAACACACAAACACACACGGAGCAGACAGCGACCGCACAGGGAAACACACCCACAGACACACTCATCACTCCACGCCGACGAGGAACGGAACGGAGGAACGAACCGAAAAAGCGAGTGCAATGTGCCACTTCTAGACACAATTGAACAACTGAGTCACTGCGAACACGCCGACAATCCGTTGGTCCCAGACACACCCTCCCTACACGCCACAACTGAACAAAGCCCAGAGTCACCGTGAACGAACAAACAAACAAAACCACTCACCCATCACACTGTTGGGTTTCATTTAAAGTCCGGTGCAGTTTATTTGTGAAAAAAGTTCAAAAATAGACCATTTAATGACAGTGCGCCTAATAACCCAGAAAATACAGTATTATTGTCTATCTCCAAAGCTCAAAATGCTGTGTTCCACCTTGTCATGTGTTTCAAGTTAACACAGTGTTCCCACAGTCATGGAAATCCTGGAAAAGTCATGGAACTTTAGTATCTCTTTCACACAACTCCAGCTTTTTGTTAAGTTCTCATGAGGCTGTTATTATTTCTGAATGTCTGAACCTATTGTTTAAAAGAGACGACAATAAATGCACTGACAGGATTTTGAATGTTCAAAACTATATTCCCAAACCATAAGGTGAATGGAAAGGTTAACATTTCATATTAAGCCCTAAAAGTCTGATCAAATCTACATATTTAAGTGCTGTAAAGCCATGGAAAATTCACTTTAGGTCAGGTGTGTCCAAACTTTTTTCATCAAGGGCCACATTTCTAAACACAGATGAAGCAGAGGCTGATCGAGGGCTGTAGACTGATGCTCAGTACAGTGAATAATTGAAGTCTGTGCATGTTTATTATGTTAGAATAAACCATCAGTCTTTATTCATGCTAAGATCCTTAAAACCACAGAGTAAAAATTAAATATTTGCTTTATCAAGGTAGATTTTCAAAAAACTTGCAGTAAAAAATATTTTTAATTGATGCAAGGTCATTTGGGCCAATTCACCTGGAAGTCTGAGGGCCAAGAAAAATTTGTCTGAGGGCCGCATTTGGACATGCCTTGCATTAGGTCATGAAAAATCATGGAAACTGTTTTGAAATTTTGTCCGTGAAAAAGAGTGGGAACCCTGTTAATAGTTCCTTTTACTTTTAGTTCAACAGAGATCGGCAATTCCAGGGCTGAAATTATCCAACATGATTTTACTGAAGGTGTGTGGAGTTTAAAAACACAGTGGAGCACTTTCTGCAGCCTTATACTGCATGACATCACAAGGTGGAACCGAGTGTTTTCTGTTTGAGAGAAAATTTCAGCCTAAATGTGCAGGATTTTTGTTTTAAAAGTATGAATGAAACAAAATACAACTCCAGGTTCATTTGTGATGAGGAAACAACATTAGAACTAGGGGTGTACAAAAATACTGAAATATCGATATATCTTATCGCTTAATGTGATGATACAGTATTGATATTGTGGGCTTCTGTATCGATATATCGACAAGAGTATTTTTTGGTATATTTCACTAAATTATTCACTTACAGCACCACAGTTTTGTTGTTTGTTTAGATATCGCACCAACACATTTGACATTTCCACTGTTTTGATGATTAAAATGTTTGTTTCATATGAACTTTGCACAAGAAGTGGTTTAACAAAGACTTTTAATATCACAGACCAGATTTAGCCTTTATTTTTTAATTGAACTGTATCGAATCGATTTGAAATGTATCGTATCAAACCCATAATGCACTGTATCGAGATATGTATGGTATCGTCTCCTGTGTATCGAGATATGTATCGTATCGTCTCCTGTGTATCGAGATATGTATCGTATCGTCTCCTGTGTATCAAGATATGTATCGTATCGGCAACTTCTCAACGATACCCAGCCCTAATTAGAACATAGGTCAGAAAATAACATAATATGAGCCCTTTAAAAGTTCCATACGGTGGCATTAAATCATTCTGTTTTGTGACAGTTGCTGACTGAATCGGTGAACACATTTTGTCCAGTTTAAACTTGTAACAAACAGCAGGTCTGTGCTGCTGTGGGCGGACAGAGGGATTTTTATGTAACTCTCTCCGTAACTCGTTTCTCCTTTATTTCCATGTTCGATTTTTCACATCATTTTCCACTAATCCTCCAGCGTTTTCCATGTTTGTCAGAATTCCTCCTCCAGGTTTTCCTCCCAGCGTGACAGCACTGACCTCCCTCCTCTTTTCTGTTTTTTTTTGTTTAGTTTTTCTAAATTTAGCCTCTGCAGTTTCCTTGGCGCGGAGCTGCTAGCCGCCCACGCTAGCCGCAGAGTTAGCGCTGCAGAGTTAGCATTAGCGCTGCATTTAGAAAGTCCAATTAGAGCAACGAACACGACAACACCGCCTGTTTAAAGCCCGGGCGGAGGAAATGGGCGAAATGTACAAGCAAACACCACAAATGTTTCTGTTCTGGGCAAGATTTTAAAACTTTTATCAGGTTATTCATCTTGTTTTCAGATTTATTACCTACTTACTAGTTCTGAGACTTCTCTGATTCTAGATTTACCCAAAACCAGTGATTTGTCCCAGATTTATACAAGAAATGTCCCAGGTATCTCTATTTTTGACCAATCTGATCCTGTTGACAGTAAAGAGAGGCATGCATTGACATTTGTTGAGGTAAAATACAGAAAAGTTGCTTTAAAACGACCAAAACACAAAGAAAATGTGACTATACTGGCACATGTTTGTTTTGTTTTGAATGGTCTCTGGATGACATTTTTCCTTCATTACACACTCATTCCACAATTTTATTATTACCAGCCACCACAAAAATGGAGATGTCCCAGTTTTGTTTGTTTTTTCTGAGTTTAGGAGAAGTTTATTTTAAGAGAACTTGTCAAGTAAAATGATCTTTCTGCATGGACAGATCATTTCATTACTTTTAACTCATTTTCTGATTGATTTAAGTGTTTATATCTTACATTTTGGCCAAGCTTGTTTGCAGTGCACTGTTAACATGGTGAATCAGGGGAGAAGGAGGTGGAGGGTTGTGAGTAACGGTTTGTAATGGTCTGAAATTACTTTTTGATTAGTCAGCCAGACAAAAGATTATTACACATTTTTACTCAAACAATGATAATAAGATTAAAGCCCAAGTATGTAACTTTTTAACCAAAAAATGCAGAAAAATAAAATGCTGTTGTTGTTTTTTTGGTGCCACCTAGTGCCTCCGCTCAACTTCATTTCTCTCCAGCGACCTCTAGGTCAGGAATCAGAATACACTAGACCAGGGGTGTCAAACATATGGTCCAGGGGCCAGATCTGGCCCTCCAAGACCTTTAATCTGGCCCACGGCTGATTTTCTACTAAAATATATTAGTTATATTTTCCATTAAAACATTGTTAATTTTCTGTGGTGCTTAGTATAGCAGCGTCTCCAGCGTCTCTGTACGTGGCCCCTCCCACCAGAGCAGCACAAATGAAGACTTGTCTCTTTCCAAACGCTCTTAAAGGACGATGGTTTTGACTGTTGACCGTGACACCCTCATCAGAAAAATGTCCAACATGAGAAAAGTTTAGCCGAGTGCAGGATTTTCTAAGAATTATTCCTGTTTACATACAAGTTCATGTTCAAACATTGTGTTGAAATTGTATTTTTCTTAAAGTTTCAGGTTGTTCATAATATTATCATATTTTGTAAAAGAAAGAGTTCATCAATTTAAAAAAATAAATCTGTATAATTCTGTAGATTTGCGTTTCTCTGCACAAATATTTGAACTTATTGTTATTTTGGGGGTTTATATGACATGAGTTTTCTGATCCGGCCCCTTTGGGATCAAAGTAGGTTGGATATGGCCCCCGGACCAAAATGAGTTTGACACCCCTGCAGTAGATGGTTTGCATGAACCCCGGAAGCTGTAGACCACACACCGGCCAATCATCTGTGAGCTGTGAAGCCATGACGTCAAACTCATCTCGTCTGTCTTGGTCCCTTTTGTGTTAGAGCACAACAGTAAACAAAGCGTCGAGATGGACGTAGATGAAGACAGACATTCTGTGTTGTCAACGATTCCCGGGATTGAGGATTTAAAGCTGGAACAAAGAGAATGTTTGGTGAATTTTATCAAGGGGAAAAACGTTACTACAGGATTTGGCACATTACATATGTCACAACCAAATAGCAGCGACTGGTTAAATTTAAAAAAGTACCTACCGTCGAGCGAATGAATCCTAATGCTTTGAGGTCAGACAGTTTCCACAAAGTGAAACCGGCTGATGAATCAGGCGATGGAAATATCCCTTTGGCTATAATCTTGGTATAAAACTGCTCTGTCTCCAAATATTCCGAAGTTAACTTTCTATTTCTAAGGAATTGTGCAGGGGATATGCCACTCCCAGAAAATTTAACACACTTTTACTCACTGACTTTTAACATGTGAGAATTGTGTGGTTTTTTTAAAAATTGATTTTATTTGCTATTCTTGCTATTTTATTCACTATTTATTCAGTATTATTTGAGACTTTGTGTTGGTAAAATGTGTGATACAAATAAAGTTGGACTGGATTACTCAGATGTTTCAGTTTTGCAGAATTCTTACATTATTTCTGTTTTTCCTTCAGGAGACCGGAGCCACGTGAGCAGCGCCGACCGCCCCGACTCGGACGCAGACGATTCAGATGAAGACGACGAGAACGAGGAAGAGGAGGAGGACAGTCAGGCCGAATCTGGACTCTCCACCAACCCGTCCGTGTCCGCCAGCCCTCAGCACTTCCCCTGCAAAGAGTCAGATGCCCCGCCAAGCGCCCTGCTCGCTCAAATGTCCATCAGCTCCGTGCTCCCGCTGTGCCAACAACAGCAGCTCACCGAGTCGGGCGTTTCCGACACAGATTCGGTCCCCATGTTGAGTCCGAAGCAGCTGACGGCCGGCGGAGGGGCAAGCGTGGCACTGGGGGTCTTGGATGTGCACAAGTCTCACTCGGCAGCAGTAGCGCCCCCTGCTGGAGTGGCAGAGGTGTCAGATACAGAGTCGGTCCACATGATGAGTCCAGTGTCCCCGTGCAGACAAATGTCCATTGACTTCCCAGACTTCGAAGGGCCACCCAGTCCCACGGCTCCTGGGAACAACGCGGCCAAGAACGGACAGGTACGGAAAATTATGATGTTGATTTATCCACTTTGTCCAAAAATTAGACTCTGTTTTATGCCTTTGTTAGAGAAACATCTTAGAAGTCAAAAATATACGCATGTTTTGTAAGTTTCCTGATGGTCTCATAATACAGGGTGTCCCAAAGAATTTGACATCGTTTCGCAGTCCAATAATTTTGGCAATTCTTGTTGAAATTTGAAGTTTTTCCAAATTTTGCATATTTGTATGGCTTTCAAAATTAATAGAATTGAATCCAAAATATTGTCCAATTTATCTCTCCAATTATGTGTATTAAAACACTGGTCATACCAAGATTAAAATTGGTCTAATGTTGGAGTGTGGGGGTCGGTCATACTGAATTTTGAAAAATGGTTTCTTAGTCTCCTGATATGTTTTTTTTTTTTTTTTTTTTGTCTTCTTTCTTCATATTGATCAGTCAAAAATAATCAGAATGATTTTTTTTCTAATTTGTAGTTAACACAGAATATTTTCTTCAGCATTTGACCCATTCTTCAGTAGCTCTGGGTTAAACCTGTCAATAAAATCACTGCCAATTTCTCTGATCTGGCCAAGATTTTAAAACTTAAATCATGTTATTCATCTTGTTTTCAGATTTATTATTCACTTACTAGTTCTGAGATGTTTCATTTTAGTCTAGAGGTCGTTTATTTTAAGAGAACTCATCAAGTAAAATGATCTTGCTGCATGGACACATCATTTCACCACTTTTAAGTCATTTCCTGATAGATTCAAGTGTTTATGTCTTAAATTTTGGCCAAGCTTTTTATTTTTTACTTTTTATTTGTGCTTTTTGAAGGTTTTAACAAATGTACATAGAAGAACACACAATTTAGAGTTCTACAAAAATGTAAAAAATCAAATACATTATCCATTGGTGTGAGCTTGTAAATAGACCATTTTGACCATCACTTCTCAAATTTACCAGCTTTCAATCTCATATAATAAGTTATTTTTTCCATCACATAAATTTCCTCCATTATATCTGTCCATTGTTGCAATTTCAAAGGGTCACTCTTCAGCCAATTCCTTCTTATACTTTCTTGCAAGCTAAGAACATCACTTTAAACCAGGGGTCTCCAACATTTTTCCTCCTGTGAGCTACAAAACAAAAATGCCAGAGAGCTACTAGTTTTAGCTTTTACAAGAAATTTAGTATATAAAAGCGCCACCGCGAGCCTTAGATACAGTTAGATGACACAGATGATACAGATGTCCCTGTTTACCTGGGACAGTCCCAGTTTTGAGCCTTGTGTCCCCTCTCCCAGCAGATTTATCCAAAAGCTGTGATTTGTCCCAGTTTTATAGAAGAAATGTCCCAGGTGTTCCTATTTTTCACCAATTTAATATCTGCCAGCAGTAAAGAGAGACATAAATTCTCATTTGTTTAGGTAAAATACACAAAAGCTGCATAAAAACGACCAAAACACAAAGAAAATGTCACTAGTAATGAACGAGTCGAGTGCAGAAAAGTTTTCCTTAATTACGCTCGTTTCACAATTTTATTACCAACCACCTCAAACCAGGGGTGAGAATCTGGTCACTTTAAGTTAGATGTTTATAATAGATTAACCATTATACATTTATTAGTGTACAAAGGCATTCAATTAATCAAATTGTACTTATTCTGCACTATATAAGTAATTCAGAAATCCCTTGGCGAGCTACTTGGTAGGGGTTGGAAAGCTACAGGCAGTGTTGGGAAGGTGACTTTTAAAATGTAATCCCCTACAGATTACAGATTACACACCCCAAAATGTAGTTTGTAACATAATCCATTAAATTACTTAAAGTGAGTAAAGTAATCTGAATACTTTGGATTACTTGATTTGCTGTAGAGAAGCAAAGATGAGGAAATCTTCACATAAGATGTTTTATCTGCTAAAAGAAAATGAAAAGGCCAAATCTTTAAAAATATTATTGATGAAGAGGAGGAGATACGGTCTGCGCAGCATGGTTTAGTCCTGTTAAATCCTGTTTTAGACCTGGTTTAGTCCTGTTAAATCCTGTTTTAGACCTGGTTTAGTCCTGTTAAATCCTGTTTTAGACCTGGTTTAGACCTGGTTTATTCCTGGTTAAGTCCTGGTTTAGTCCTGGTTTAGTCCTGGTTTAGACCTGGTTTAGACCAGGTTTTAGACCTGGTTTTAGACTTGGGTTTAGACCTGGTTCAGACCTGGTTTTAGACCTGCTTTTAGACCTGGTTTTAGACTTGGGTTTAGTCCTGGTTTAGACCTGGTTTAGACCTGGTTTTAGACCTGGTTTTTGACTTGGGTTTAGACCTGGTTTAGACCTGGTTTAGTCCTGGTTTTAGACCTGGGTTTATTCCTGGTTTTAGACCTGGTTTTAGACTTGGGTTTAGACCTGGTTTTACACCTGGTTTAGACCTGGTTTATTCCTGGTTTAGACCTGGTTTAGGCCTGGGTTTAGACCTGGTTTAGTCCTGGTTTAGTCCTGGTTTAGACCTATCTTTTGACCTGGTTTTAGACCTGGTTTTAGACTTGGGTTTAGACCTGGTTTAGACCTGGTTTAGACCTAGTTTATTCCTGGTTTAGGCCTGGTTTAGACCTGGTTTAGACCTGGGTTTAGACCTGGGTTTAGACCTGGTTTAGACCTGGGTTTAGTCCTGGTTTAGACCTGGTTTAGTCCTGGTTTAGACCTGGTTTAGACCTGGTTTAGACCTGGTTTAGTCCTGGTTTAGTCCTGGTTTAGACCTGGTTTAGACCTGGTTTAGTCCTGGTTTAGACCTGGTTTAGTCCTGGTTTAGACCTGGTTTAGTCCTGGTTTAGACCTGGTTTAGTGTCCAGCAATGAGTGGAATTACTGAGGAAAAAAAAAAAGGGGGGATATAGCCCCAAACGTGAAAACAGGAAAATATCGCCATGTAATCCATTTATTTCAACAAAGTAACTGTAATCCAATTACCACTCATTGAAACAGTAACTGTAACTGAATACAGTTACTCATAATTTGTACTCTGATTACGTATTTGCGGTACATGTAATCTGTTACTCCCCAACACTGGCTACCGGTAGCTCTCGAGCTCCAGGTTGGAGACTCCTGCTTTGAACAAGTCCTCAGGTCAAATATTGTTTTCATGCAACAAACCAAAATACATAACCTGTGGATCATTGTATTATTAGTAGTATTTTATAGCCAAATACCTCTTCCATTACGGTTGCAATATTTTCCCAAAATGGCCAAGCTTTTTTGCAATGATAGTACACAAAAAAACACAAACAATAATAATTCCTTCTTCTTTTCTCTCCACAGGACTCTCCAGCGCCCTCTTCTGCCCCCTCTTCAGATCTGTCCCTCCCCGTCGACCGCGGGACCCAGACGTCCATCTTCCCCTGTCACACTCCTCTCCTCTTCCCCCAAAACCCCTCTCCTGCGCCCTCTGCCGGCCCCTCCGCTCTGCCCCTCAACGGAGAGACCCACCTCTTCAGCCACCTCCCCCTCCACTCCCAGCAACCCCCGCGCTCCAACTACAACATGCTGCCAGTAGGGGGCATCCAGCTGGTCCCCGCCGGTTTAGCCGCTTACTCTACGTTTGTGCCAATCCAAGCCGGGCAAGTTCAGCTCACCATACCTGCCGTCGGGGTGATCCACCGTAACACGAGCCCTCTACCGGCCCCGAATATGTCTCCGCAGCCGGGGGAGGGCATCCAGAGTAATCCCGTTTTGGTGCAAGACCCAGCTGGCGTAGTTCCTTGCTTCCCTGTGGCGCAAACGCTACAGCCGCTGAACTTAGAGACGCTGAACATCATGGGAATCGCAAATACGGGGCTAGCGTCGACGCAGCTGCTCCAACAACAAGGCCTGACGCTAAACGCCACGCTGGGTTTGCAAGTTTTAGCGGCGAGCCCGACGTCTCAAAGTAGCACGCAAGTACCGGGGTTGCAAATAGTTAATATCGCTTTACCGGCGATTATACCGTCCATGAGTCCCATCCCGGCTCTGAGTCCGTTACCAGCGGGAGCAGAGAGGCAAGGGAGCCCGGAAGCGCAACCGGAACGCGGGCAAAGTCCGGTGAAAATGCCAGTATCGCCCGCTCCCATGGTGGCCAACAGTCCTCCGATGTTAAGCGCCAGCCCTGCACACGTTTGCAGCGACGCAAAACCAGCAGATAAACAGGAAGTGAACGCATTCACAGAGCAAAAATTATCACCAGTTCCTGAAAGCCAGATCATGAAACCCGCCAAAACGTGGCAGAAATCGACGGAGGATTACAACGAAGCGTCCAGCGATGATGAGGATCGGTTGGTCATCGCCACCTGAACGAGAACGTGAAATTTTTGTAACTTTTGTCACTTTTAAAGACTTTTGAAAAACACTTCTTCAGGGGTTTGTGTGTTTGCAAATCGCTGTCAAAAAGCACAGATGCTGACATTCGTAACAACGGTGCAATCTTATCAATTATTATTATTACGACCAATTATTTTTACGTTTTGTCACTTTTTGTTTTGACTTTTCTTTTTGTAAATGTTGTATAGACAATTGTGCCTTTATGGAGTAACTTGTACATATTTTCTTTGCGTAGTGGCTTGTGTAATTTGAGAATTCTGATCTTTTTTTTTTTTTTCGTAAATTGGATGGATTGTATCAGTAATTGTACATTTCTCTGGACGGGAGCAGCGTGTGTACAGATGTGATGTTATATATTTATTCTGCTCCTCCGAGTGGTGTTTCAGTCCATAGGTTCATGTGCATTATGATGGTAGCTCTACATGGCTGTATCAATATTCTTAAATGTATCAGTAAAATATTTGGTAATAAAATACAAGTGATGTCACGGAATCTGTCTCCAGTGACTGTTTTTCAGCACATCGACACACTAATATAGTTTTAACAGGACACGTGTTTGATGGGAATAAGTCAGAAAAAAATATGTTGTTGAACAGGACCTGGCTTATATAATGTATTGTTTAAATGTTGACATTCATGTAATGACTGGACAGGACAGATCAAAATTCTATTCACGAGTTGCCAGTTGCCATAGCAATTAACAATCGGTAGGTTTCATAAGACATCACAGTATTCTATAGGACAATTGCTGGATTTTCGATAATATCACATCATTCTATAGTCCAGTATTAATAAATACAGATGGGCTAAGCTAAAATTTATATATTTAAAATGTAAAACTATGTTGCAATACAGTGAGGTCAGTAATGACCGAAAGGACAAGATCACGGATAAAAGCAGTTGAATTGAGTTTCCTCTGCAGGGTGACTGACGCTCCCTTAGAGATAGGGTGAAGAGCTCATTCACACTGGAGGAGCTCGGAGTAGAGCCGCTGCTCCTTCATGTGGAGAGGAGCAGCTGAGGTTCGGACGTCTGTTCTGATGCCTCCTGGACGTCTCCCTCGGGAGGTCTTCATGTCCCACCGGGAGGAGGCCCCGGGGAAGACCCAGAACACGCTGGAGCGACGATGTCTCAAGGCTGGCCTTGGAACGCCTCGGGGTCCCCCCCAGAGGAGCTGGAGTCCCTGCTTAGACTGCTGCCCCCCGTGACCCGACCCGGATAAGCGGAAGAAAATGGATGGATGGATAGTGAGTTCTTGGATTTAGCCAATACGTAAATGAAATTATTAGGTTCAGTGTTTGTGAATTTACCTTTTAGATAGTTCATGGCAAAATACAATGTTATTAATAGTAATATCTGGCTTTTGCCCCTCAAGTGGGTGTATGACATCATCATATTGTAGAATCTGAAAACTACCAATATGAATGAGAACAAATGGGAGGCAGCTAAAATGAATATTGTTTAATTGCATATTTTTGTTGCAATGTAGCAGGGTCTTGAGTCTAGTCACTAATAGAAATGATCTGATTCCACATTTGTGCATTTACCTTTTAGATATTTCAAGATAAAGTACAATAGAAGCTATAGGGAAACATGGCCGCTTCCCCCATTTGGGAGTTTGACATCACTACAGTCTAAAATCAGTAAACCACCAATTAGTGGCTCTTTAAATCGAAATGGGATTGAAGTAAATTGCTGTGTGTGTGTGTGTGTGTGTGAGTGTGTGTGTGTGTGTGTTGATGGTTGGACAGGCCACAGAGTATATTGACCTTCCAAAAAAGCCCTGCACTGATAAAAAGCTTATTGAAGAATCTCAAAGTTCTGCACTGTGGTCATTATTCTTTCACCTCACACTCGGTGGTGTTAAGTTACTCTACGCTCTGTTCACGCTTACGTCACAAACCAGGAAGACGTTTGGAAACATGCGATGAAACTTCTGGTGTAGTTCCCGACACTGGGCTCACAGACCGACTGATCAAATCCAGTGTAAAATGAAGACTGCAGACGTCATGTGCTGTTTGGAATCATCTGGAATCTGTGGGGTGCCAATCTATACCACTGGCTCCTCCCACCACGACTCACTCTTACCACCACGTTTGTTCGTTGTAGTTGAACAGAACAGAACTCGGTCTGAGCAGGAATCGATCGTCTGACCTTCAGGTCGAGGGAGCACTGCTGCACTGAGCCACTGTTATTAATGAGCTTTAGCTTTAGTTTAAAAGGTGACACTTTGAGGATGGTTGGCCATTCAGATGGAACATTTACTTTCCAATTGGTGGTTTCAGATGACATCACAGGATCTATAGGGCTTATTAATTAAGACAAATGGCAGGCAGCTAAAAAAAAATATTGTTAAAAAGCAAAATGATGTTGTAATACAGTGACTTCTAGGGTTTAGTAATGAACTGAATCTACCAGGGTCAGTGTTTATGACATTACCGTTTGGATATTTCATGACAAAGTTCAATGGAATCAATGGGAAAGTCTGACCCTTGCCCCCATTTGCGAGTGTGACCTCATTACATTCTAGAATCTGAAAAGCATTAATTGGATATGAGCTACTGTATATGTGATGAAATAACAGAGAACACTCTTGTATTTCCACAGGGCGATGTGGATCTCTAAATTAAAAGTCTAGGAAAAGGCGTACAAAGTTCCAAACCTGACATTCAAACTTGGTAGAGTTTGTTGCACTTGTAGCTCGTTATAAGAGTGAGGTACAGGAAAGTACACGTGGGTGGAAGCAGCAGCAGCACTGAGCCGTGATTGGACAAAATGATCGATACAGAACACACAGGCTAAAATTAAAATGTTTATGTAACAAAAATAAAAGATATTTTTAGATTCACACAGGCTGAGTTCTGTATCATTTTTATAACTGTTTGGTGTTACAGTCGTCATTCACAAAAACACAACTGCACTACTGCACAGACTACATGTACTATTAGTACTTGTAGTAATTAATAATAATAAAAAAGCATAGTAATTCATAAAAAATGTTGTAGTAGTCGTAGTAGTTGTAGTAGTAGCAGCTGCACGATTAGCAGTAACTGAATAATGCACAGGCTATTCAGTGTAGTAGTAGTCAAAGTTATAGTCGTAGTACTAGTCCTAGAAGTAGTAGTACTAGCAAAAGCAGTAGTAGTAGCTCAGTACCCAGTATTGCACAAGCTATTCAATATAGTAGTAGTCCTAGAAGTAGTAGTGGTAGTACTAGCAGTAGTAATAACCCAGTACTGCACAGGGTATTCCATATAGTAGTAGTCCTAGAAGTCGTAGTGGTACTAGCAGTAGGAGTTGAATTAGTAGCAGTTGCAGTAGTAGTAACCCAGTACTACACAAGCTATTCAATATACTTGTAGTCCAAGAAGTAGTAGTGGTAGTACTAGAACTAGCAGTAGCAGTAGTAGTAATCAAGTACAGCACAGGCTATTCAGTGTAGTAGTAGTAGTAGTCCTAGAAGTATTAATGGTAGTAGTGATAGTAGCAGTTAGTAACCCAGTATTGCACAGGCTATTCAGTAGTAGTAGTAGTAGTAGTAGTAGTAGTAGTAACCCGGTACTGCACTGGCTGATCAATGTAGTAGTAGTAGTCGTAGTAGTCATAGAAGTAGTCCTAGAAGTACTAATGGTAGTAGTGGCAGTTGTAGCAGTTGTAGCAGTAGCAGTAGTACCCTAGTACTGCACATGTTATTCAGTGTAGTAGCAGTAATTGTCGTAGTAGTAGTCATAGTAATAGTCTTAAAAATAGTAATAGTTGTAGTAGTAGTAGCAGTAGCAGTAGCAATAACTGTTGTAGTAACCCAGTGCTGCACAGGCTATTCAGTGTAGTAGTAGTGATCCTAGAAGTAACTGTAGTAGTAGTATTCATGTAGCGATAATAGTTGTTGTACCTTCTGAAAATGTATTTGTGAAAAGGGAAATCGAAAATATTATAAACAATCCCAGCATGTGACAAGTAGAAATAAAATAATTTCTAACATGACATGACAAAGTGAGTGTATTCGTTCTCTAAAGCACATGTGCAGGATTTTCTGTTCAGTAAAAACAGATTCCTTCAAGATGGATTCAGACGTGATTAAATCGAGCCCTCGCGCTCTTTCTGAATGACAGAGGCGCGCTCCCAGTGCTCGGCCTGTCCCTTTAAATCCCTCAAACGTCCACACAAACACGCGTGTCCATTCATAACTGCAGTGTCCACGCGCACCAGGGCCCACGCGCTCAGAGGGTGACTCATCCGGCACCCACGCCACGCGGACTATGGCGCCCCACTCAGGACGAGCACGGAACTGCAGCGGGAATCACAGGCGAGGAAACAGAGACACCTACCGGCCACTGAACAACACTGCAGACAAGGAGAGACGTTTAAGAGAAGTTACAAACATCAAATGGGGGATATATTGTATTATTTTATTAAAATACTGTTTTGAAGTAGTAGTAACAGCAGCAGTAGTAGTAGTGGTAGTAGTAGTAGTAGTAGTAGTAGTAGTAGTAGTAGTAGTAGTAGTAGTAGTAGTAGTAGTAGTAGTAGTAGTAGTAGTAGTAGTAGTAGTAGTAGTAGTAGTAGTAGTAGTAAAGGCAGTAGCACTAGTAGTAGCAGTAGTAATAGTAGTAGTAGCAGTAGTAGTAGTAGTAGCAGTAGTAATAGTAGTAGTAGTAGTAGTAGTAGTAGTAGCAGTAGTAGTAGTAGTAGTAGTACTATAGTCGTAGTAGTCACAGAAGTAGTCCTATAAGTAGTAATCGTAATAGTAGTAACCCAGTACTGCACAGGCTATTCAATGTAGTAGGAGTAATCCTAGAAGTAGTAGTGGTAGTAGTGGTAGTAGTAGTCATAGTAGTAGTCCTAGAAATATTAATGGTAGTGATAGTAGCAGTAGTAATCCAGTACTGCACAGGCCATTTATTATATTAGTAATAGTAGTAGTAGTAGTAGTAGTAGTAGTAGTAGTAGCAGTAGTAGTAACAGTAGTAACCCAGTACTGCACAGGCTGTTCAATGTAGTAGTAGTAGTAGTAGTAGTAGTCATAGTAATAGTAGTAGTATTAGTAGCAGTAGCAGTAGCAGTAGCAGTAGTAGTAGTAGCGGTAGTAGTAGTAGTAGTAAGTAGTAGTAGCAGTAGTAGTAGTAGCAGTAGTAGTAGTAGTAACAGTAGTAGTAGTAGTAGTAGCAGTAGCAGTAGTAGTAGTAGTAGTAGTAGCAGTAGTAGTAGTAGCAGTAGCAGTAGTAGTAGTAGTAGTAGTAGTAGTAGTAGTACTGTAGTCGTAGTACTCATAGTAGTAGTCCTAGAAGTAGTAATGGTAGCAGTAGCAGTAGTAACCCAGTAATGCACAGGCTATTCAATGTACTAGGAGTAGTCCTAGAAGTAGTAGTGGTAGTACTAGCAGCAGCAGTAGTAATAGTAGCAGTAGCAGGAGTAATAACCCAGTATTGCACAGGCTATTTGAGGTATAAGTAGTCCAAGAAGTAGTAGTGGTAGTAGAAGCAGTAGTAGTA